GCCAGCGTTTTCTCTTCCTTTGGATGTTTTCAAACGTGTCACCAAAACTTCCGAAAAGCCTCGAAGGGGAAGAGGCTGCAGGAGGATGCGCTGGCTGCTGAGTACGCCGAGCACTGAAAACTTTTCTGTTTGCTCTCAGAAGTTTGCAGCGCTGTTATTACAGTAGGAGCGAGACAACATCTAACATGGAGTAAAGATTACAATTTCCAGAAGTCAGAATTTATTACAGTTAAACTGTGATAAGATCCCATCTGTTATGAACACATGTAGCACCAATTGTTTTTCATACAACTGCAATTTATTTACCCTTCAGACTGAATGAGATTACAAGAGTGATTTAAAAAGGAAAAAAAAAAAAAAGGAAAGGAAAGCAGCAGCACCAGCACCACGCTTTTTCTTTAGGCCGGCCTATCTGCGTCTATCTCGCGAAATCCATTCACGCCGCGCTGCTTCCCCGCGGCTGAGCTCGGCTCCTCCTGCCCCGCACAGGCGATGTTATCGGCTCGGGGCTGGGGCTGCGGCCCAGGCCCGGGGGCTCTGCCCACGGGGCTCTGCCCGGCTCCCGGGGGTCCGCGCCGCCACCCCCCGGCCGAGCCCGGCGCCCTCCGCGGCTCGGGGCCGCCGCTGCCCCCGCGCTGCCCCCGCCGCGGGGCCCGGCAGCGCCGCCTGGCGGGCGGGAGCCCGGCCCCGGGCCGCGCCGAGCCTGCCCGGGCCCCGCAGACAAAGGGGAGCCGGCTCCGGGGCTCGGTCCCCGTGCGGGGTTCCCGCCAGGCGGGCTCCGCTCCGGGCGGCGGCTCCGAGCCGGGGCGAGAACCCGCAACCGCGGCGGGGGAGCGGGCGGCCGGGCGCTGCCCGTGGACTGCTACGGTTTCGGAGCGAGAGAGGTGCCTGCTCGCCCTCCGACCCCTTCCCACAAGGGTTTCAGATCCTCCTCGCAAATAAACCGGGAAAAACAGAGTGGCTGCTAAAAAACTAAAACGTTAGACGGGTTTACCGCGGTAGACTAAGAGCGGTTGTCTAATTTCGTTCTTTCAAACTCTTCCGAGTCATACGTATATGTGTGTATATATGTGTATATATATCCTCCAGGTTTCAGTGGGCGTCTTTCTGCTGCTCTGTTATCATTATTTCTTGCCTTGATGTGACGTTGAAGACAGATGACAGCATTGTCAGGTTGTCTTTAATTCATTTGAAGATTTAAAAAAAAAAAAAAAAAAAAAGATATACACACAAGGCTTCTTACAATATTAAAACCCTGAACGGATTTACTTTTTTCAGAGGGGACGGGGTGGCTGGGAGGGGGGAGCGGTTGATGAGTTTCAGACGTGAAGGGAGAACAAAGTCCGTGCGGCGCTGTGCGTGCACACACGCACACAGCGAGCGGCCGGAGGTGGGAGTCTCGCAGCAGCAGCACCTGGTTGATCTTGATGGAGAAATACCCAGCATCAAGCCAGTCTCTTCGCGTTTATGCACAGATCCAAATGTATAATCTGCTCGAATTTCAGTCCTGTCTCTGCTGCCAAAGCAGTCCACCTCCAAAGAGGTGAGAGCATACGGTTTCATGGTCCGTCTTTCTTCTTTTGACACCTTTCTACTTCTTCGCAACATTTTGCATTTAAAAAAAAAAAAAAAAAAAAGCAATGTGCCCCGAACTCCCTCGGAGTGAGCTGCGAGAGAGATTTAGCAGGGATTAGACACCTTCGGTCAGGAACGAGGGCTTGCCTGCTGCAGGTCTGCTCGCGAAGTGGTGCGGGCTGCCCCGCGGGGCGCGGAGGGGATCGTGGGGTGACGGGCTAGGAAGGTCTGAAATGCTCCTCAAAATCTGGATGGAAAGGCGACTTGGTGGTGGCTCCAGCAGTTTTCCAACTTTAGATTCGCTCTTTTTTTTTTGGGGGGGGGGGAGGGGGTGAGGAGGGGATACTGAGCGGTGCTCTACGAAGTGCCTGTAGTGAAAGCCAATAGCGTTAAAGAAAGGCAGTATTTCTCTTCGTCCTTTCTAAGTATGAAAGACTGAAGTTCTATGAAGATCTACGTTTTGCAGAACAGGAATGCACATTTACTTTTGTTTCAGAAGGCTTGGGCCTTTCAGGACTCCACTTGCCTGGGTGATTTCGAGTGCAGATGTGGACAGTTCAGGAAAACACTCAGAGTAAAGAGAATGGAGTCAGATTCAGTCCTCGCACTGCGCGTACCTTGCTTGCTGTACCGAGGGTAGTTTCGAAGGCAGGGGATGGGCAGTGAGTGACTTTCCAGTATTAGAAAATGGAGCCTCCTATCGCTGAGTAAAATCTTCTCGTCATAAAGGCACCCCTGTATTTTAGCTCCAGCGTATGTTTTGCACTCTGAAATCAGGAAAATAAACATGTTTGTATGTGTTTGGTATCGCCTTGCGCGTGTAAGCCAAGCTACATATGCCCATATAGGCTCGGATATATTGCAGAAACTCCTTTGCTGTCTGTGGAGTCTGGTGTTTTATTGTTTCATAAAACTAGCTTAATTACATTTCCCCATAGATAAGATAAACAGAACCCTTATTTTCTAAGCGTTGCTTATCAGAAGTATTTTGTCGAAGTGGCATCCAGAGTAAGCCTTTGAGAGGGGATGGAAATTCATTAAGTTTTATTTTGATTCTTCAGTTGCACTTAGCATCTGACAAGATTTGATTTAAATATTACATGAGTTTATCTTTAATGTTCAGAAAAGATTTGTGAGAAGGATGAAACTGTTTAATTTAAACTAATGTATGCCTGACTCTGGTCAGATTGATCTGAGTTTGGGGTTTTGATGGGTTTTGCCCTTCTGTTGCTTGTCCTCTCGAGCTGGTTTTTCACTGTGAAATTATTTTAGTTCGGTGGCATGGACCAGCGGCTGCTGTCAACTCCACAACCCATCCAGCTAGTAAGAACGGGGGAATAAAATAACAAATGCAACCCTTTTACCTAAAAACATTAGCGCCCATAAGTCAATCTCTATTAGAAAAAATAGCAAATTTCCTAGATTAATATAAAAATCCTATGTGACACTTGCCAGGTCAAATATTTAACAAGCCTGGAAGAGAGACCTCCTCACCACCACCACGCTACATGTAAAATAAGCTCTCTTAATTTTTCATTTATGTCGGTGACAGTACCTGAGCAAAACAGCAATAATAATGCAAAGTGTTCTTTTTAGCGCTCGCATCAGAAATCCTCGCGTACAACTTTTCCAGAGCCGCAGTCCACAGAACTGCGATCAGGGCTCCAGCACGCAGGGATCTCTGTCGCTGTCTGTTGCAGCGAGACCCGCCACACCTGACGGCTGATGGATTTTAGCTAGCCAAGTCGGAGGTGCATCTGCTAGAAAGCTGTAACCGTAAAACGCGCATGGAAGCAGTGCGCCTGTGTGGCTGCGATGCTTTTTAACCGCGCTCGCTCTCCCAGCCGCTGCCTGGGACGCGATTTTCCCCCTACGAAGGGTGCTCGGAGCCCCGCAGCGGGGCGGGCGCGCCGCGGGGGCGAGCGGCGGGGGCGAGCAGCGGGGCGCAGGCCGGGCCCTTTCCGCTGCCCCGGCTCGCTGGGCGGCCCCTCCGCCGCCGGCACCTCCCCGGGCCGCAGAGCCCCGCTTCCCGGCGCCGGCCGTGCTCGGGGCCGTGTCCTACTTGGTAGCCGAAGTTTGCCTGGCGCGGGTCGCAGCGCTGCCCTCCCCGCCCTTCCCCTAGCTCATCAGTTCACGGCGAGAGCTCAATTTACATTCCCTAAAGCAGAGCCGCGCACCGGTCCTTTTCCCATTTAAGGGGAAAAAAGAGGCATTTGGTTAAAGCAGTTCCTGTGCCCGTTGCGGATCCGCGTCCCAGAAGAGCCGCGGAGCAGCCGAGCACCGCCGGCCCAGCTCCGTGCCGGGACGGCCGGGCGGGCGCTGGAGCTTCACTAGCCGCCCGCTTTTCTCTGCTCTGCACATTACCGCTAACTTCCACTAATTATCGGGAGTAAATGTATTAGGCTAATTAGCATCTGGGCACCACGGGAAACTTCGAACAGCAATTAGGCTGTGGGTGCTGCAGAGCGCGGGAGAAAGCGCCGGGCTTTGTCGCGGCACGGCGCCGCTTGCAGCCGCTCCCCCGGGCCGTGGGGCCGGGGCCGGCCGGGCCGTGGGGCCGGGGCCGCCGGTTCCGCCCGCGCCTCTCCCGGCAAGCGCCCGGCGGGGCGGCGGAGCGCGGCTCTTCCGCTTCCCACGGCCGCCAGCGCTCACCCCGCGGTTGCGGCGGCGGCTCGGGCTTCCCCGGCGCAGCCCCCTGCTCCTACCTGGGCGCGGGCCGACGAGCCGGAGCCGGAGCCGGAGCCGGAGCCGGAGCCGGGCGAGGGCCCCGGGAAGCCCGAGCTGGGAGGCAGGGAGGCGGCACGGACAGGGGCAGCCCCTCTCGGCATCACGTCGAGTTTGGCACTGCGCTTCGGGAGAGAGCAAACTCGGGCCGAGTAGCAGACGGGCTTCTTTTTGTTTGTTTGTTTGGGGTCTTTTTCCTCCCCGTCCCTTCCTTTTAAAAAGAAAAGGAGTTCTCAGAGCGTCCGTTTTTTTTTTTTATTTTTATTTTTTTTTTAAACTTGATGATCACTTGTGCTGCGGTAGGAACTGAAGAAAGAAATTGAAAATAACTGGATGAGATCAAATAGCGCTTCCCCAATTACTTCTGAACTTCTCATTTAGAAAAGGAGATGAATGGTTAAGCATTACACTGTAAAAAGCTTTCAGATAATCTTCTTACTCTTTTACAAATAAGTCCTGCCTTCCCCGGATTTCTTCCCAAAGAAAGAACGGAGTATTTTAATTGAAAACCAGTTTAAAAAGAAAACGGTTTTCACAGTATTTTTTTTAAAGTAAATTTTCCTCAGGAAAGTGAAAGATGTAAACGATTCTTAGTTTTCTTATTTCGTGCCTATGAATTCTACCGAAGTAGAAGTGGAGGGGAAAAAAAAACTTATGATTTTTTTTTGTTTTAAAAAAAAGAGCCCTGGGGTTACAATAAAAAAAAAACTTGTGTTTTTATTTTTTTTTTTTTTACTTTTAATTAAAATTGAATAAACGCTTAAGGAGAAATTAGCAATTGCCTCCATCCAAGACCTACTCGGGTTTATAACAGAATCAAAGCGTATTAAAAAAAAAAAAAAGTAAAACCTTTTAATACATCAAATATACGGAATTTTAATCTTTAAAGCGATACATTGTCTATTTTAGTACATGACGTAAACCTTACTTAACCCTTTTTACAGGGTGGACTTAAAAATTAAAAATAGTTGTGTTCCTTTTAAAGAACAAAATAAGGCAAATGAGGTTTTTGGAATAGAATTGTTTTTGTTTTTCTTCCAGAATACATACAAAAAAATACCAATTCTCTTTCAAGGGTATACACCTTAAAAATAATTGCAATTTGAAATTATAACTGACAAATTGCGAGTTGTTTTTTAGTAACAAACATGCATGTAAATTTTTTGTTTCAATGAGACATTAAATAAGAACGTACAATACAATCATAGCAATTTTAAAGTAACATTAAAGAGAAGACCTCTATCTTTTTATTTATATTCTACAATGGGTGTTCCACTTTTACCTATTGAGCTCAGTTAAGTAATGCACTTTATGATTCGTTGTCCCGCTTGAAGCTAACATAAATAAATACAGTGCTCATGGATCCAGTCCTCAAATGAACACTATTTTATAAAAAGTCCGATTTTAATTTTTTTTTTTTTATTTTTTCCTTTCCAACTTTTATAAAGTTTCGGAGGGCTCCCTTCCCTCCCCGCCAGGCTCCGGGCTGCACCGGAACCCCCCGCCTGTGCTCACTGGTAGCCCAGCGCCGAGGCTGTGGTGAGTCTCTGCCCGTAGAGTGCGTAAGGGGAGTAGTAGGGTCCCGTGGCTGCGGGCACGGGCACGGGGGCCCCTGGGGTGGGCAGCGGGCTCTTGGAGTAGGGGTGGTAGCGGCTGCCGAGTCCCAGAGCGTGGTGCGGGCTGCGCAGCGCCAGCGTGCCCGGGCTGCCCGGGGCGCCCGTCGTGGGGATGTGCATGTGGCACGCCATGGCCGCGGCCGCCGCGCTGGCCAGCGACGAGGAGCTGGGGTAGCTGGAGAGGAGTTTATCGGTGCCCGGGAAGGCAGTATGGGTCCGCAAGTGGCTAAGCAGCTCCTCCGAGGTGGCGAAGCGCTTGTCGCAGGGTCCGTTGGCCGACACCCAGTTGCAGATGTGCGGCTGGGGGTCGTTGGGGAGCATGAAGCCGTAGGGGTACAAAGGGTGGCCGGCCAGCGAGGGCGGCGTGGCGCCGGTCAGCGAGGAGTGGACGCTGTGCAAGGGGTGCGTGGGGTACACGAGGGGGTATCCGGACTTGAGGGCCTGGTCGTGGGCGCAGGAGGCGCCGGCGGCGCCGGCCAGGTGGCTGGCGCAGTGGTAGCTCAGGCAGTAGGGGTCTCGGCACAGGCTGGCCGTCATCACCGACGGCGGCGACGCGCCCGCCAGCGGGCTCGACCCCGCCGGCTTGCTGCAGCCCAGGCTGCTGGCGGCGGCCAGCTGGGCCCCCACCAGGCTGGAGGATTTGGTGGGGTCCAGAGCCACTCCGTGCGGCAGGAACTGCGGCGGGTAGCCGGCGTAGGCTCCAGCCAGCGTCCCCGGGTAGCTCATGCCCGCCGGGGGCAGAGGGAAGACGGTCTGGCCCGGCTTGTAGGGGGAGACGGGGGCTACGAGGCCGGAGCCCAGGACGGAGGTGGAGGAGGTGGCGGTGGTGCTGCTGCAGGAGGAGGCGGAGTCCGAGGCGATGGGCTTGGAGCCCGGCGTGCTCTCCTGGTGCTGGTTGACCTCCACGTTAATCCCGGCACAGCTCACGCTAATCCGGCTGTGGCTGATGCTGGTGGTGCCCGGGCCTCCCTCCGAGCCGGAGCTGCCGCTCTTTCCGCAGCCCTCCGAGTCCTTCTTGTCCTCCCCGCCTTTGCCCTCGGCCGGCAGCAGCCCCGGCGAGCAGGCGGAGGCGCTGGAGTTGGGGCTGCCTGTCCTTGGGGTGAACGGCTGGCAGGTGGCGCTCGGCACCCGGAATCCCGACTTCTCCCCGGCCGCGACCCCCGCGGCGGGGGCGCCCGCGCAGCCCGTCGCCCCCGGCTCCTTCTTCTCGGCGCCCGGCTTGGAGTAGGGCTTGAAGCTCGACTTGTCCTCCACGCCGATGTCGCTGAGCTTCAAGGGGCCCGACTTGGAGTCCTTGTCGCCTCCGGAGCCATTGGAGGTGACCGACGAGAGTTTGGAGGAAGGGGACGGGTCCGGCTTCCCTATTTGCGAGCAAGTTTGTGCCAAAAGGGCCAGGGGACTCTTCTTCGCATCCAGCTGCAGAAATCAGAAGGGCACACATAAAGACAGAGGTTTAGTGGGGGGTTCGACGGAGGGGAAAAAACACAATCAAAAAAGCAAAGCCCCGGAGCGTACCTAGGACGCTCGTCCCGCACGTTTTGCAGGGGACAGCCTGGAAGCGATGAACAATTTCGTGCGCATTCATCACCCTGACAGCCCCCTCCCCTGCATGCACCATTTTCCACAAAGCCTTTAGAGAGGGCTAGGGCTTTTCGGAGCCGGGCGAGCCCAGCACGGCCGCCTCGGGCAGGGGGGCAGCAGCCCGGGCAGCGCCGAGCTTCGCCCTTCGGCTCCCCGCCGCGCCGGGCGTGGAGGAGCACGAAGCGGGCCGGGAACTCGAGCGGCTGCAGCATTTCTGCGCCCTGACTGCTGACACTATTTATAAACAGAGCCCGGAGAGCCGGGCTCCAGGGGCGAGCAGCGCCTTCGCTCCGCAGAGACCCCGATGAAATCATTCATTCCCACGGACACACCCTTCCCACCACCCCCTCCGTTCCGAGTTTCGGTCTCTAACGCAGCGAGCTACGCGGAGGGGGACCGACAGCGGCGAAAAGGGCCGAATAGGGCTCCCCAGCTCCGAAAGCACGTAGGGCTGGGGAGCCGAAATAGCCGGCCTGCCGCAGCCGCTCTTCAGCCTGTCCCTCTCTGCGCCCCCCCGCCCCAAACTCTCCGTGCAGAATCCCGCTCGGTCGCCGCTCCGAGCTCCGCTGAGTTGCGTGGCCGGATCGTGACCCCGGAGCGGGTCGTTTCCTTCCACTCGACCCTCCTCTCTCAAAAAAAAAAATAATAAAAAAAAATACAAAGGAGGGGAAAAAAAGACAAAAAGAGAAAAATGGGAAGTTTATTTAAAAAGGCCTCGCGAAGGAGCCCAGCAAACACGGGAACAATGAGCAGGAGCGGCTCCCGGCGCTAGCTGTCGGCCAGAAGGAGCCCGTTTCCTGGAGGGAGCGCGTCTCGCAGCGGAGGCGAGCTCCGGGGCGGCTGCAGAGAGCGGGCGCCATGCGCGGCGAGCGCCCGGGCAGGGGCAGGCGCGGCTGGGGGGGGACGGGGACGGCTCCCGGCTCCTTACCTCGATGGGGCTGACGGGCGTGGAGGGTAAAGGCTGCAGGTACTCGGGGTGTAAAATGTGTCCAGTCCGCGCCGTGAGCATTTTCAGGACTTTGATGGGAAGGCGGTTGGCTTGGCGTAGCGGGTCCGAGGGGGGCACGGCGTGGAAGCCGGGCTTGGCGGCGGCGCTGCTGCTGCTGCCGCTATTCCCAGCGTGCCCGGGCGGCCCGGCGAGGTCGGCGGCGCTGCGGCTGCGGCGGGGGCTGCCTCCGGGCTCGCTGAGGCTGCTGCTGCTGCTGCGCTTACTACTACTTCTCGGAGCAGAAAGCGAGGGCGATGTGATCATGACCCAAAACCTCGCATGAAAACTGGGGCAAGTCGCGCCGCTCGCACTCGGAAAGGCTCGCTCGCCTTCTGCGGGCGGGGAGGGAAAAAAGCCGCACGCCCCCCGAGCGGGAAAACAACCATAAAACGTCCTGCGGCTCGCTCCGGCGGGGAGGGCGTGGGTGGGGAGCGGGGGGGCGAGGGGGAGCTGGCCGGAGAGAAAGAGGAGGAAAGGAGGAAGAAAAAAAAAAAAAAAAAAAAAGCCGAGTAATCCGTGGGCTGCGCCGGGGGCGGGGGGGCTGCGAGCGTGTGCCGCCGTGCCCCGGGGCCGCTGCGGGCTGCCCTCGGCGGGGCTGAGCGGGGCCGGGCGCTGGGCTCCGCCGCTCAGCTGCGCTGCGAGCCGCTGCCCATCCAGCCCGGGATCTGGCGGAGAAACTCACTTCAAAAGCAGCTGAATTAGCCGGAGATTAAAGCCTTTGCCGCCTTCCAATCAAATGGGACCCCGAGGTGATTGGAGGGTCAAGGGGATGTGACGTTCCCTTTTCTGGGGCTTTTTTGCGCTGTTTTTAATGGTCTCTCGCTCGCTCTTTTTTTTTTTTTTTTTTTTCTTTTCCCTTCCCTTTCTCGTCCGCCTTCCCTCTCCCCTCCCCTCCTTCCTTGTTTTCGCTCCCGGGACGGGCTGGGCGTTAATTCTCTGTTTCACATCACGCGGCCGCAGCCTTTTCCTTCCTCCGCAGCCGGCGCGGGCGGCCGCACGGCTCCGAGGCGAGCAACCGAGGGGCTCCGCCGGGCCCCGGGCCCGACCCTCCGCCCCGCCGCCGGCCCCGCGGCACGGCCCCGCCGCCTGCGGGCCCCGGGGCCAGGCGCGGGGCTCTTTGGGCCCCCTCCCGCCCGACCAGGAGCGGGCCGCGGCGGCCGAGAACCTGCAGAGCGCCGGGCGGCCTGCGCGGCGCCGCCCGCGGCGGGCGGGAGCCGAGGCGCTGCGGCGGCGGGCGGGGGCTCCACGCACCGCTCCGTGCCCCCCCCAAATCCTCCTCCTCCTGCTCCTGCTCCCCTTCCTCCGCCGCCAACGGCCCGCGGCCCTGCCCCATCGGCAGGCCGGGCCGAGCCGTGCTGGGGCGCCGGGCACAGCCCCGAGCGGAGCCCGCAGCCCTGCCGCCGCGCCCCCGCCCGCCTGTTCTCCCTTTGTACTTTCCATCCCGCTGTCCCCCCATCTCCTCATCCCATAACGTGTTTTTTTTTTTCTTTTTTTTTTTTTTCTCTCTCTCTTTTTTTTTTTTTTTTCACAGGCAAAATGTGTTAATCAATCTTTTACTTTTGTTTCCGGATCTGACATGGTGGCCCACACAATCTACAACATTAACAAAAAGGTCACTTAGAGATAAAACACGTTTGACAAGTGAAGAACAAGGCAAGTGCTTTAGGGGTCGCGTCCAATTCCTGACCTGGACTCCGACCAGAACAGGCGCTGATCCTGGAAGGGGTGGGCGAGAGGAAGGACTTTCACTTTCTCGCCTTTATATCTGCTGAACCAAGTCCTTTTTCTTCCCTCGAAACACCGATTTCCCCCAGCCCCTTAGCAGATGGATCAGATAGCCTTTAATGATCTTCTCTCCTTACGAGGTAGACATAAGGCACGTTTTCCTAGATATCCTCCCCACCCCCCCGTAAAGCGGTACCCTTTAAATCCTGCAGCCAAGTAAGTACCTCTGCTGTCTTTTATTAAAACCACTTCACTCTTTCAACGTAGTCTGTAGAATAGGGTAAATACGCGGAACTCCCCTGGCTTCTATAAAGATAATTTTAACAAACTTTTTAATTTCTGCGTTTTCTCTGAAAACAGAGAGCTTATTGCCAGAACTTTGCGGTGGAAACTCATAAACGTACTTTCATTTCGCAGTCGCCGCGGTTGCCTTGTAAAACAGTGAAAATTAAAAGGGGGGGGGGGAAGAGAGAAGGGGGAAGCAGAGAAATAAATGTTGCATAAAAATGATATTGCTGTAGGATTGACAAGAGCCACAACTTGCCCTTAAGGAGCTCCCCCCTTTCTTTATACAGAGTGGAAGTGACTTGAATCTGCCCCAGGTTTTCCCCCAGTTCTTTCTTTTGTTGTCAAGTCCAATTGATAAATGGAGTGCAGTAAAACTCTGGAAGGAAAAAAAAAAAAAAAAAAAAAAAAAAAGCTGAAACCTTCATTTGTGTTCATTTGCATTAAAGTGCTTGGAACAGCTGTTTTCCTTACAGGACCGGGGAGACTCCTATCTGTTTTCTCGTTGTATTTATCCTGCCTCCCAGGGTGAAAGACTAAAGATTAATTGTCTTAAGGTAGAGTCAGCTGTGGGAAGGCTCCCCCTCCCCATTTTCCCCTCTCTCGCTTTTCTTGCGGAGGTGAGGGGGATTTCGGGAAGGGGTTGTTTGACTGCCGAGGCAGGGAACCAGAGGCGATCCCCGGGACATGTGTAAAACAGGCAGCGCACCGGCGGGGGGAGCGGGGAAGGCGAACCCCGAGCTCCCCGGCTGAAACAGGAGCACCAGCGGGTCATTTAAGCAGTAACTTCAGAGGACAGCTTCTCATTTATTTATTTATTTTTTTCCGCCGAGCCTTTGAAATGAGATTTAAATCACACTCGGTACTGTAAACTTTTTTATGTAAAAGCTTGTAAAATAAAAAAGGAAAAAAAAAAAAAAACAGCCCCGAAACATCCCCGCCCCCTGCCCCCGGGCTCTGCGCGGGTTCCCCAGCCGGGCTGGGGCTGCCCACGCGTGGAAAGAGGGCCGTGGGCTGGCTTCGGCCCGGGCCGGCCCTCTGCCTCTCTTGAGCTGAAGAAGATGGATTCCGTCCTGCTCGTTACCTTTGCGAAGGATCCTTCTTTAATGAGTCCGCGCAGACGGTTTGCTCTTTGGCATTTACTTGTGCAGTCTTGTTGAAGTTTTGGTGGCTGTAGCTTTTATTCTCCATTAAAAAAAAAAAAAGTCCAACAACAAAAAGTGAGGGTTGGAACCCGTCTTCCTCCTCTTACAAAGGAAAATTGTAACTTAAAAAAAAGGAGAGCAAAGGAGGAATTAATTAACAAGTGCCAGTCCACACTTTCCTTTACCTACCAGCTATTGGCAAGCATGTCAAGTCGATTTTATTTGCACACAATGGAAATGATTTATTTTCTCTTAAAAAGGAGTGGGCTGGCAGATATTTGAGGAGGAGAGGAGAGCGAGAGCGAGAGAGGAAAAAAAGTTTGAAAATGCCTTGAACTATTCACTGTCGAGATGGCTAATCAGTATTGAGGCTCGAGGGCACTCGGGCAGCTTTTCAATGCGGTTTTCCTTTCATCTCAAGCTGGATGGAGGCGCTCAATTAAAAGCCTATCAGTTTGTAAGTAAATCAACGCCTATCAAAGTTGTCACATCAAACAAAACGATTATTATTGCAGCCCGCCTCCCCTATTAATCTCCCTCTAAAATAATCCGCTTGACAGGTCAGGCTGGCGAGCTGCAAAGTCTGGTCGGGATCAGCCAAAAAACCCGGACTGCCTGTTTTTCCCTCGGGAGAGGGAACTGCAGAAACCTCGGCACCAGCATGCCTGCTCTGCGAGCTCGCTCTCTTGCCATTTTAGTGTCAGGTTCTGTACATCATGTTGGTAAAGGGCGTTTAGTCTTTTAAACTGAACAGCAACAGCCCTACAGGCCCTTTCGATTTTTTTTTCCCCTTTCCACCCCCTCTCTCTTCTATCGCTTTAGAACAAGGTTAAGCTTTTAATTAACAGAAACACAGTTGCTGAGTTGTGCCTGTGCTGTATTTCTGTGCATACCGCATTTCAGCTACCTGTCTGTCCTGCGCGTCAATTTTATTTGCTTTGGTAGTGCTTGCCTTTCACCGTCTACCCCAAGGCTTTTATGAAGGTATGATGCATTGCAATCGATTTTTGTAAACGATGCATCTCCTTTTTTTTTTTTTTTTTTTTTTAACCTCCCAAAATGATAATACTTCGGATAAGAAATATGCTTCTTTATGAGAAATACCACACCACGAATTCGCACATTTTGGAGTTTTTTTTTTTTTTCTATTTCTTTCTCTCTCTTTTTTTTTTTTTTTCTCTTCTTGCATGTGAGTCTGCATGTGCCCAGATAATAGCTGATACATCTGCCCAGGTATCTGGCAGAGGTGTGGGGCATTTCTTCCCGAATGTTATTAAAGCAAATAGTTTGAATGCTTGCCAACAGAAAGCAAGATTTCCAAACCTCTCCTCTGTTTGCACAGTACTTGAAAATATTTACCCTTATGATTGTAATTACTTTCCTAATATATATGAGATATATATTTTGCTCTGCATGACACGTAGGTAATCGTCTTATAAGCACAGATAATTTTAGAGCCATCTTCAAAATAATAGTCACGTTTAAATGAACACGAGTTTTATTTGGCTGTGATATTTTTCCTAAACGAGCAGCAAATTACTTTGTTTGTTTGTTTGTTTGCTTACTGCTTTCGGAAATATACTTCCTCCTAAACTGTTTTCGAATGAGTTTGTCTAGTTATCCTCCTTTTGTTCCGCTGAGGGGGAAGGAAGCGATTAATACACCTAACAAAAACCGCCCTTCTCTTGTAAGCAATTTGATAGATTCCTTTATTGACGTTGCGAGTTTCATGTATGAGTGTCAAGATTTTTGCACCCGTGTTGAAACCCTTTTACCAACAGTTATTTTCCCAAAGTGTCCCTTTTCATGTTTAAGGTGGTTTTCATGCAAACAGCTTTTATTTTAAATAAGCCTTAAGGTAACTTTCTCGACGGAGAGGGCGAGAGCAAGCCAAACGAGTCTGGTGGCACGGCAAAGGCTGGCTGCTTCCTGCGAAGCGCAGAGATTTTTAGTTGCCTTTCACGTTAGTGAGTGTACCGCGATTAAAACCACCAGCCGAAAGCAAGCGAACACGTTTCCTAATTCGTGCACGTGTACTCGACCTAGTGTTTGCTGCCTGCATTTTAAGAGTGAAAAAGAGTCTTTTAGCTTCTGCAACACCTTGGTCTGATCATTGAGGCTCAGCAATCATAAAGGCATCTTTGTGTTTATCTTCTGCGAAAGCCTGGAGGCTACGTGAGAGAATTCATCTAACTCCGCACATATTTGGTTACAGCAATCCTTCAGAAATTAACCATGGCACACAAGTGGAGGCGATCTTTAGCTTCTTCACTTGGATCCAAAAGGCACGGAGTGTTTATTGACAACTTTGTTATGGAAACTGAACTGATCAGCCGGATGCGTCCCCAACAGCGTTAGGAACAACGTCTTGTTATAGAGGCGGAAAAGTTTTAAGGCTAGGGCTGGAAAAGCCACGGGAACCCCAATAATTAACCTCATCTAGGCACCCAAATGAACAATAATCCTCGAAGTAATTACAAGATAGCCACGTCGGGGCGAGGGTAGGGGCAGGAAGAAGCGAGCTCTGCATCTTCTCTATCTCCTCAAAACAGCCTAGGTCCACGATCCGAAAAGGTTAAAATAATCTTAATTTTAATAACTATTAGCTTGTTTTCAGTCATCCCTAATGATGCATTTAGGTGTCTTCTAATCCCAGCCGCTTTCATCTTCAGCTTTTTACACCCTAAAATTAATTCCACCTAAAGTACATTTTTCATTTTGTACTGTACTAGCGACGTGCAAATAATTTACATCAGCGTTCATCAGGACTGTCCTGAAGTGATGGATCATTTTGTTGAGTTGCAGTAAAAGTGCAGAATGATCTATAATGATGTAATATATACATTAAAAGGGTGTCTGGATGATCAGAGTTTTGCTAAAAATGTAAAAGGGCTTTTTGATTGATAACAGGGTTGCTGTTTTTCTGCAAAGGCTGTCACAGGCTGACACAATGCTTGAGTTATTAGGGCAGAGAAGGGCAACCATAAATTTCCAACGTCAGGCAAAAACTCTCTTTATTGTCTATATGATGGATGGGCCTCCGTACTAGACACCAAATACTTCGTATCACCCTTAAATGGGAACACATTTTTCGCGGCCATAATTCATGTTTTTTAAATAGAAAGTTTGAAATGCCTGCCTATATTTCACAATCCTGACATATTTATGAATCACTCCCTGCATGCAAATATAATTATTTAAAGCACCGAGGTGACATATGGGTTAGAAACGTACCAAATGCTGTTAGCGGAGTGATTTTTTTTAATTCCCTAAATTGAACACCGTAGAAATCTCTGCCTGTCTGCTCAGATCAATGAAGTCGAAGGTGAAGTTTTACTGATTTTGTCAGCGCCGCGTACGGCCGCTCGGTTTCGAGGAGGTGAAACCGACCAAACGGGAGCCCGCCGGCAATTCCCATGAGGCCGATGAAGGGGCGCTCCTCCTCCTCCTCCTCCTCCTCCTCCTCCTCCTCCTCCTCCTCCTCCCGACACCCCGCTCCGAGAGCCGGTCCCGGCTCCGACCGGCGGAGCCCCGGCTCCCCGCAGCTCTCCCGGGGCCGGTGCAGGGCTCCGGTGCCCCGGGGCCGAGCAGCCGCGCTCCCCGCCGCCTCCCTGCCCGCCGGCCGCGGCGAGCGGAGAAGCCGGCGGCCGCCCCGCGCTTCTTTTGCTTCCCTTCGGGAGCGGGGCCGAGCCGCTGCCGGGGCCGGAGCCGGGGCCGGGGCCGCCGGGCAGCCCCGGGGCCGCCGCCACTTCCGCCGGGGCGGGCGGAGCCGCAGCGCCGCGCCCCGCCCGCAGCCCGCCCCCCGGCCGGGACCCGCACCGGGACCCGCAGCGCGGAGCGGGGAGCCCCGGGCGCTGCGCCCCGCAGCGTCTCCGGGCTCTGCTCGGGCTCCTCCAGCCCCTGCCCTGCGCCTTCGTCTGCACTTTATCGCAACTTTGGGTATTTTCGGCAGGGCTCGAGCGAAGCGGGCATCGGAATCGCTTAGCGTCTTGAGTCTTTTCTGCCGTGGACTCGCGTGTGAATGTGTAAAATGTTCGCAGTAGTCCAAACTTACTATAGCAGGCTGACTCTTTGCCCATAAAATGTTAAATCAACCATGACCAGACTCATTTTCCCATGTCAGCCAAGAGGACTCTGTAAATCAACACATTAGGGCTTCGCTGGGTAGGAGCTGCGTGTGCTTCATGCAAAATGGCCCTGACAGCCGCTCTCCTGGTGCCGCGGTTGTCAGCCTGTGCCTGAGTGCGGAATTGTCATGTGGCAGCGGGAAATCTTGCAGGTAGAGTGCAAGTTCATTGGCAAGGCAATATGCAAGAGATCAAGGGCTGGCACTGCAGAAGGAGACGGTAAGGGTTGTTTTACCTTTCGACGTGATTGTTTTGCTTTTCAGTCTCACAGGTGTTTTGCAAAGCCCATCCCACCCGCTTGTATCACTTAGATGAGTCTGTGCCTCCTCTGAAGGCCCGGTGCAGGTGCTTCCAAATATCTCCAGGAGGAGCCCACTTGGCAGCCGTCACGCAAAGCTCGTTTCGAGGTTGTGAAGGAGCGTGATAGCTGTACCCGGAAGGAAATAAGCACTTTGGACAAATATGGCTAGGGAAGAATAGCCTTGGCTAGAGGAGACAGTCCAGGAGCAACCAAGACAACCCCCTCTTTGTTCAAGAAACAAGAAGCATTTTTTTTCCCCTTACCTTTGAGCAGTGTGCTATGTTCTGTAAAAAGCCTCAGCCAACCAGCCCTTATCTAAACTGCTATCTCTGGGTAAGAGTTCAGACATTGGAAAGCTTATTTCTGGGTGCTAGTAGGTTCAAAAGAAAAGGAGACATAGCACAGCATATAACAAAATAATATAACCCCTCACTGGTCCCAATTGTTACACGCATTGAATCAGATTAGATTCAGATATCAAGGTAGGGCTTTGTGCTGTATTTCACGAAAGGGGCCTCAGCATAGAGAAATCATTATCCAGTGCTCCTTGCTGGATTGCCTCCCACTCAGAGAGGTGACCCAGCTATGACCCAGACTCTGAACAGTTGTGTGTAAATTTAATTTTCAGCATTACATCATTCCAACCGGAATCTCACCTCTTTGCTCACTGTTGTGCTATGTGGCTTACCTGGTGGCAGAGAAAGAAAAGAAGAAGGAGAAAACATACCAAATATTAGGAAATACAGAGTTCGCATAAAACCAAACTTAGAGCCACTTCTGCCTGTGGTCTAGTAAGACAAAATGAGTTAGCTGCCACCACTAAGGTGAGAGGAAAAAAAAATCACATGGTAAGTTTAAAAACGTACAACGTGTCAAAAGAAAAGGGGTTTCTAATGGGGTGATGATAGAAAATCTGCTTACAAAGTTTCCTGTTAAAAAAAAAAAAAAAAAGCAGTAGTGGAAGGTCTGTAGCAGTATTTGTTCTTGGCCAGTACTTTCACTACCTGAGGAGGGGTTGAACAGTGAGAACTTGTTCTTCAAGCTTCAATGTGTTTTTTTTTATGTGTTTTTTGCATGTTTGTTGTTTTCTCTGGCAAGTTTTTGGAACACGAGTTGTATAGAAAACAGCAAAAACTAAGAAAGAAAATTGTGCATTGTAAAAGTTTCCCTGTGGGAATCATCTGTGTCAGTGAAGATACATTTTTAAGGGAACAAAAGCCAGTCTTCTTGTGAAGGCTGCCCATTCTCTCAAAAGTTAAAGAATTTAAGGAGACTAAGAGTAAAAATGAACTAAGCCCACGCCCTTCTTCATCTAATTTTAATTTTTGTTTTGTCTTTAGCAGACCAGAGAGTCACCCGTTAAACCATTTCTTTCCCATATGAAACATATTTATTTTTTTCTGTTTCTTTTTCATTCACAGGAAGTTCATATGCTCAATGGATGACAAAGTAAGGCTGCAGTATGAGAGTGCGAAGAGTTTTTTTCCAGACCAGCTTCATTCAGGTACTCCCAACTCTGATAAATGTACTACCTTTAGTGTCAGGAGCAGAGATTAAAGGCAACAGGAGCTTGGCCAAGGTCACAAGTCCTTACAGTAAATAAGCGGTCTGTTCAAGTAAACTTATTAAATTGTGGCCACAGAAGAACAGAGGCTAGACAGAGTTAGCAGCTCTTAAGTTCCAGTTCCAGGTTTACCATTAACAGCATGCAACTTTATCATGTAGCTTTGTATCTGTAAAATGGGGTCCTGCTATTTAGTTATCAATTACAAAGAGTTTTAATGAGGATAAAATAGTAAATGCTTTAATGCGTTACCATGTCATAACAGAGCCAAGAACTTAATCTCATATTCCCTAAAGCAGTGCAGTAACACAATGCACTGTGTCTTTCTGCATAATAGTGAAGTTGAATCAAGAATCATCTTGTTCCTGTTTTGGATGCTGTGCTCTCTTGTCATAATAAACAGTGTTATTTCATATGCCAGTGCTGCCCCAAGTTTTATGTTTTGCATTACTCAGGGACCAGAAGCAAACATGCTTCGAGGTTTCTCTTTCCTCCACTGATTTTTCCAACTCATGAAATGATGCATAATGTGTGTGTAATTATGGGATTTATTTCGTCCTTTGAATTAGTAGCTGCCACACATTTCTATAATATTTGAAGTTAGTGGTCTTGCAGGTTTTTTTTTTGTTGTTGTTTTTAGATTTATGCAATATGGTTTTATTATTATTTTACCTGTGACCTTGAAATCATGAATAGACTTCATGCTACTGTGACAGAGGTACTAATGGTATCATTATATAGCTTTGGTTGTCTTGTTTGAATGTTATTAATATACAAAGGTAAAATCAATTAACAAAACACCCTTTTTGAAATGTAATTTATTAACTCTGTATTAGAGTATTCTTCGGTTGAATAGCTCTAAGACAGAGATAATATAATAGCATTGTGGCTACTTCAGTTATGGCTTGCTTCTTCTCTCCTTGGACTAAAAGGCAAAATTTTCTCATTTACTTATACACGAATAGAATTGGACTGTGGTAAGCAGCTGTTTTAGTTCAGTAATCACCCATTGTTTCACTTCCACGTTTTTATCATGATCTCAGTGGGAAAAGCAAATTTAAGTAGGATGCTTTTATAGGTATGGTAGGTTTTTAATATGTTGATAAGAAAGAAGAATAGTTGAGCCCAAATTATAATATCTAAGGAGCACAGTAAACATTACAACCCAATTTAAAATACCATAGAGATGCTTCAGTTTGGTCTGTTGGTATCCATTCATATCTGTAATTGTTAATAATAATAATAATAAACCATATTAATAAACTGGGTAGGGGGGGGATTAAGAATCTGATGACATTTTTCCTTCTTTGCTGTGAAAACTATGAAGGGTAGACAGGATTTTTTTAAAAGACTATATATTTATAACTACAGCATTCATATAAACCGCTGCGTGTTCTGCAGCAGGCGCTTTACAGGGGAGGTAGAAGCTATTCTTGGCAAGAACTGCCTGCTTCTTTAAAGGTGCCTCTTAAACTTGCCTGTGCAACAAGGACAATGAAAGAAGGTTGGCATGGGGCTCAGTTGTGGGTACGGAGATAAGTTGACTGTGATTTTTTTGGATCAACGTTTGAAATTTTTGTGACTCGGAGTGAAAATCCCTGCTACTTGCACTAATAAAGGACAGGATTAGTTCAGGTGGGTTCTAGGTAAGCAACCCGGTGTAACCAAGGAGAAGGTTGAAAGGAAATATGTTTCTTTTCTATAGCAGTACTGTGGTTCTATTTATATGTTTATGCTGGAGTAATGAAAGCAATAACATTTTTACTGCAAACAGTAAATAATCATGGGATGCCAAGATACTCTACCCTGGGTTGGGTATATTTATGTTTATAGTGTATATGTATATATAAAAAAAAGTATTACCTCTTGGAGTGGTGTTTGTCTGAAAATGGTTTGGTATCTTTTACACAGTCTTGGCTGCATGTCTCTAGATAGATCAAATGTTTATCAGTAATACTCTTACGTCTTCCCAGAAGGCCAAGGTATGCTTTTCCCATGGAATATTATGAGGTGTCTCAGGAAAACAGAAACAAACAAACAAAAAAAAAAAACCCTGCAGCCTCCACAGATTCATACACTTACCAGTCCTCATCATGGGTACTAAAATATCAGTATGGATTTGTTGCACTGGGGGCCTTTCTCAGGCGTTGTAAGGCAGGGTGAATTTCATCTTTGTAAGATTAAAAACTGAAACAGACTCCCGAAGTACAGAAAATTAATTTAACAGTTATAAAGACGTCAAATTGATGACACCAGAGGATGAAGTGCAGAATGTCCTCCTCTGCCTTGCCAGAATAATTAGAGAACAGTTCATTCATATCCTCTCTGTTGATTCTGCAAAAATACCAGTTGTGTGACTGGATTTCTGCAACAGAGATGCCCACTAATTCTTCTCACCGATGACCTAACAGCCAGTGTGTGGTCACGTTGTTGATATAGACTTTGTTTGACTTCCATTTAAATAAGATAGTGGCTACAGGCTCCATGTTTCATTTTCTGGAAGTAAAGTTACATGAAATTTTTGTGCCTGCTCATATACTTTTTTTGCTTGTTTTGATTCTTTGTCCTTTAGCGCTGAACATTTTCAGTTCACCTTTAAGTGACAAGTTCAGATATGAACATCTCGACTTTTATCAGTTTGGGTCAAATCACAATCTGAGCTTTTTGGATTAAAAATGGTTAGTCTTCCAGCATTCCACTCCGTATAAATAAAATTGCCTGAAAATATCTATCATAATCTAATCTCTGATATTCTGATACATGCTACATACTATCGACTTTAACATTTTCTAAAACTTAAGTGAATATCTGCTATCACTGTTTAATACAAATAGTTCTGAATGATTATAAAAATATTTAATGCATAATGCATATCGCTCAGGTGTTATTGTCAGTAATGGATGAGGAACAACGTTTGGATAATTTATAAAACTAGACAAAAACATTTTTCAGTAGTTAGTGTTTTCAAGGTGTTGGTTTCTAATAATAACATTTTGGTCATAATACCTTTTTAACATAATTTAAACTACTTTACTTATGCAAATTGGTGAACTAACTTGAGTGCTTTTATGCTACCTGAAACACTGGAAGTGTCTTGCATTATAGAAATGTGTATAAAAACAGTTTAACTCTTTTGCTTGCTTCAAATCAAACTGTAAAACAGATGACAATTTTTCTTGGTTACAAAGTAAAGAAGCTTTCCCCCTCACACCTTTGTTTGATTTGTGAGGTGCCAAGGAGGTGGTGAGGATCTTTAATAAGTGAGTTAGTAGCCTTTACTTCTTTAGCACTCTGACTTATTTTGAACCAGCAAATATATTATAGCAAAACTATTAGGTTGTAAGGGCACACAGGTAAGAAATGGGAGCTGAGGAGATCAGGCCTGCTGGAGGTAGCCCAGCCCTATGCTGAGGAAGAGTTTCTCAGTAGCACACAAGAAGAGGTGACATGATGGCACCTTAACAAAGCTGGTTCTGAGCACAGGAACAAGCAACTCAAAGGAGAAACCCTGAAAACCAACTACTTAAAATCTAGGAACATCTTGAGACCACTTGGGCAGCTCTGCATGGGTATCTACACTACGCTGAGCTGCAGTGGGTTTTTGACCTGAAGGCCATTGCAGGGCTGTCTGGATTGCTCAGCTTTTCACTTTAGGGCCTCTGTGTCAGTTTCGGTGAGTGTAGAAACTGAGCCTCCAAAGTCCTCTTGGGAGAAAAGGAGGAGATGCCATTTTCTGCCTGTCTTGTGTTTCCATGGTATCCATGGGATGGAAATTCCAGGATGAGACAAGAGACCAGCTTGGGTAAGTGCCCTGATTTTATTATACCTGTTCAAAGTTGGGGAAGGAAGGATAACATGGGAAGCTTGTAGGAAATCTATGCTGAATGGCAGTGGACAGCCAAGCAGGGGGTGCCCATCACAGAAACTTTGTCTTCAAAGGCCAGAAAGGGCTTCAAGAATCCCTTCATTCCATATCAACCACAGTGATGAGGAAAACAAAGAAAGACCTCTTTAACCGTTGCTTTTGCAGACTTTGCTCATTACTTGCATAGTATTGACTGCAATATATGCCTATACACCAGTAGTGACAGCTTAGCTCACTAGTGGCCAAGAGCAGGGCATGCACGCTCAGCAAGAGGTATTGTACACGTGCCATCACTAGTGCACAGTGTGCTCACAACCCAGACTCAATCTGAAAAACATCTGCATGTGGCCGTTCACATTTGTGTTCCCACTAGCAGATTCCTCACCTGTATCAAATTTCCTAGCACCATTTTCAAAGTGGTTCCACAAGGGCGGGGAGGGTAAGTCCTATCTATTCCTTGTATTTATTCCTGGACATAACAACTACAGGTGGCCAGAATTCAGATTAAGCTTACATGGGGACACACAGAATTCTTCCCTCCCTCTGGCATCCCTCTCATGCCTTTTCCTCAACTTTGTGTTTCAGTCATATACAGCTCACTAATGCAGAAGATTGTGTTTCTTTCCTGATTCTGCCACCCTAACTTTGAAAGCATAAGCCCCAGCACATTCCTGCAGTCCCTTCAGTAACATGGATGGCCCATTCACAGGGTTGGGAAGGTCACTGATAGTTTCTGGTGTGTAGTTTCTGGATGTAATGCACGTTCACGTCTAACTTTTTGGATACGGTAGTATTATAATTCCTTGCTTGGAATTTGCTTGGGAAGAGAAGGTACTCATCTGTCCCTGTACAAAGCTTCTCAATAAAATTGGACATGGCATTCACTACTCCTGTAGTGATCAGTGTAGGCCAGGAAGATTATAGATAGATATCTCTTGTGTTCATGCAAATAAAAGAGTCTGTGGGTAATGACATGACTTTAAGAACAGGCTATGCTGGGGCAGAGAACTGATGCTACAGACTTCCTCTGACTAATATTCCATGGTGAAAAAGCTGAGGCTGACAGGCACCACCA